AACCCTAAATCCCTAAAGCCCTAGCTGGCCCCATAGCTCGCAGGATTCCTTCCAGAGCGCTCACGGGCGGCCCCGGGCCTGTCCGTTTGGGCCGTGCAAGAGGAGGCCCTTTCTGGTGGGTTTCAGGGCTTTTGGGGTTTGGAGGGTTTAGGATTCAGGAAATTTAGGGTTCAGGGCTTTTGGGGTATTGAGGGTGTAGAATTTAGGAAATTTCAGGGCTTTTGTTTTTTGGGGCCGAGGGCTGTCGAGTTTCAGGGGCGTTTCGCAGCTGCGGCGTTTGGGTTTTATAGGGTGTTGTTAGTGAGGGTTTGCAAGCTCTTCAGGATTGAGGGGTCCAGCACGGTCCGTAGAGGCCAGATAATGATTGGAAATGGTTGTTCAGGCGATGGCATCCGTAGGTTGTTCCGCTGAAGTCTTTGACGCGCACAGCCGTTCTGAAATAAATGGCCTGTCTGCAACGAACAGCTACTGAGCTACTGCATGTGCGATCTTGCTTTCCTGCTGGATGATCAGGATCTTCGCACGGCGTAGACATTGTTCGTGCCGCATGTCATGTCATGTCGGACTGCCAAAAGCGTACACAGGAATCCAGTTGGTTAGTTTATGCAGATGAACCCGTTGAAACCTTACCAGCCCCTCAACCCGAAATTCCAAAACCTTCCCTCACGACCTTTTTTGTCGAGTTTTGCCAGACAAGGTGAGCGCCTTCGCAGTCGGGTGGCAGCGGCGGATGAGGACGGGCAACTGGCGTGGTCCAAGAGCCGTCATCTTACTTGTAGTACTCCTTTTTTTCTTTGCGGATTATATGTAACAAGCTGTCCAAACGAAGTTGCTGTACGCCACAACAAGATTCAGTTTGGCGTCTTTCGGTCCTTTCACTAAAGAACGTGGAGAAGGGGATGCAACACACAGCATGGATTCGTTTTCCTCCGTCGGAGCATGGGTTGGCGAGAGCAAGACAAAGAAGATCTGATCCCTGAATTCATAAACATAAAAAGCCTAAACATAAAACGCCTAAACCCTAAACCCTTATAACACCTGGGTTGCAAGCCTGATGCCCAAGTCTGAAACCCGAGGCTGAAGTCTCCCAGCTATAACTCTTCAGTCGTTCAGATTCCAGGGCCTGGTGGCCTGGGCCCATTGCGTTTGACAGTTCAGTGTTGGGGAAGGTTCCGGTTCACACGCTTTCACAAGGCTTGCCACAAAATGGCTCCGCGAATTTTTAAAGGATGATCAACAACATGAAAAGAGCTGTGGAAGCTAGCTACTATGAACAGTCGACCCGTTTCCCGGGCGGAACTGCAAGTTCAGTTTCCCTTACGGTTTGGTTTTTGGAGGTGTTGCCTGGTTTAATATAGGGACCTCTATAATCAATTAGAACAGGGTTTGGGGTATAT